TAAACTTTTTTTTCATTTTTGTTCTTTTTGTCACGGACACAGAAGGAAGGACCGTGGACTGTGGTCACATGGTTTCCTTGTCACAGTTGGATGCATATGGTTCTCATTAAAAGAATCTTGAAGACCATTACGTATTTGTAAATGAGTTTGGTGTTTTATAATTATAAAAGTAAAATATTGATTATTAAATAAAAAATCAGTAATTAATTATCTATTAGTTTAAGTTAAAAAAATTTGATTTTCTTTAAATAAAATTTTAAGTTTAAGTATTGTAAATGAAAAATTAAGTTTTAAGAATATTTTTTCTTATAGAATTCGATACGGTTCGATTTTAAAAATAAAGGAATTAACATTTATTGTAAGGAGTTTTTACTATTTAATAATTAATAGTTTATAATTTAATACAATTTTTACTTTAAAACATTTTTTTTGGTAAAATATTATTGTTTGGTAGAATTTGTTAAACAGCATCATTAATTATTAATTTTTTCTTACCTTACCATGAAGCATCAAATTCCATTACTTTAGCCCTAGTTTTCCTATGCCTTTTTCTGGTTTATTTAAGTTTGAGTTCTTTTCGCCACAAACAAAGAATCTCATTTTACAAATTCCCCAACTCACAGGAAAAGACGTCTTAATCTTGACGTAGTTACTGCAACTTTATCTTTTTTATTTTTTATTTTTTGAGTAAACTTTTCTTTTGAGATTTTTAAATTTAATAGTCATATCCTTTTGGTTTTAATAAACTTAATTGCCTTTCTACTTCTTCTTCTGACTATTTCATTTCCATGGTGTAGGATTCTAAGCTGGATGTTACAATTGGTCCATACGAGACATATGAAGATGCATTGTTTGGGTACAAGGTGTTGATGTTTTTCCTATTTCCTTCCACTCCAATTATTTTAGCATTGCATAACATTGGCGTTGTTGAAGAAGTCAGACTTACTTAATAGCTTTGCTTTTATATTGCTTCCCCTGTGAAAATGTTGCAACATGCCTTTTCCTTTCATAGGTGCATTGAAACATGCTCTTTTGAATTTGAAATATGTCCTTTGGAGACTTTGGATAACTATTATATCTGGCGTAATATAAGTTCATGAAAGATTAAATTTAAATTTACAAATTTATTTCTGTGAAAAGTAAAGGAAAACTTCATTCCATCCCCATGATTTGGGCAATTTACAATGTCCCATCCATATACACTTAAGTCAAATCTATTTGCAAGCTTTGAAATGGCAAAAGGCTAGCATTTCTTGGAATGTGGGAACTGAGTATACCATAGTGTATAAGTGTCATAAGGCAAACCACATTATGGTATACATAAAGTAGGCACTACTTTTTATTATTATTATTTTGGGGAAGGGGGGGTGGTGCATTAAGTGAAGTCATCCATTATAAAGAATTTATTGATAGTTTTCATGGTCTCAAATATTTCACTTTCCAGTTTATTTCTTATGTCTGGATGAAAAGAGACCTATGAACTTAGATGATATGTTCAATTTCTAATGGTATAGATTTCAAATATGACACTGGGAATTTGAAAGGCATAATAGCATTTTCAAGGCTTATACTTATACCTAATCCTTATGAATGTTTTTCCATGCTGTAAATTCCTCAACTGAATTTTTCATTCATCTTAATTATCCTCATGAACATGTTAGCTCATTTTGGACTGCTTGTTGTATGGCTTAAGTGTGCATGTCTGCTGCAAACTGCATGCCCTTGTGTTGTACATATTGGAAATCAAATTTGAAACAAACTGTATTCTTGTTGCAATGATTTCATTATTTTGACGTGATGTGCAGCTTGTTTAATGCACTATAATTATCTTAGGCTACATTTGAAGCATTTATTGGAGTTCGAGATGACAAAGCAACTGCTCAAGTTAAACTCTTTGGTGATAATTTGCAGGTATTTTGTGTAGTTTGACAAGCTAAGAGCCTAAGATGTATTGCCTTTCTTCTGAGCAATTTGTTCAAAATCTTTTCTATCTTAGGTTTTGGAAAAAAATCTTCCATTGGATAATGCTTACAAATCAAAAGATGTTATTGCTGCTCCCATTTACAAATCAAAAGATGTTATTGCTGCTCACATTCGTGTCATCCAGCTTATTTATAATGCAGGGGTGAGTTGTTACTTGAAAATCTTTTATGTTATTATATTATTTTCAAAAGAATCTTTTGTTTATGTGGTACTGGACCTGTCACACATGGAAACAAGCAAATGCATGTTCACATATATGCATAAGTTTAGACACGCTCGCATATATTTGCATCTTCATTCTCATTTAAGATTTTTGGCTCTATGCTGTAGGAAGATTTTGTTCTAAACATCGTAAGGCACATATTCATTGTTTAAAATCCATCTTCATGCCAACCTATTTGAACTTTGATTTAGTAACAATTTTGTTGGAAATAGACACATAAGTATTTAGTAGACTGAGAGAGTAACTAGATGGACCAACAAAGAACTTATGCACATACTCTATGTGGATACATCACATTGTTAAATGATTTGTATTGAAAATTAAATATGAGAAATGAGAAGAAGGTACAGAGGTTTTTATTTTGATTATCTAATTTCCTTTTCTCTTGACCGTAATTCTAATTTATAATATAATATAATTTTAAACAGGATGTAAAGGGTCCTCAGACTGTTGCCTTCAATTTACCAAATGATGAACGAATTGTAAAGGACCGAGGGACATCCATGGTCATGCTTAAGAATGTCTCAGAGGCCAAGTACACCTTTTAGTGCTTTCAGAAATTTTTAATCATTATTCTGGAATCAAAAAAAAAAAAAAAAGAGGTTAGACTTTTAACACTTTTCCTTCTCAACCAGGTTTAAACACATTCTTTAGCTGATAGCTGAGGCATGTATCAAAAAGGAACAAAGGGAACTCGTAGATTTTGAGTCTTTCTTTACTCACATTGTCTGCCATGAGTACTGCCATGGCATTGGGCCTCATACTATAACACTTCTTGATGGACGAAAGTCAACAGTTAGATTGGTTAGTTATGTGACTGCCTTTTATTGAATATGTTTCCTGTTTTGGAAAATTGAATCTAAAAACATGCCTGTGTAATATCTCCCAGGCAAATATAATTTATTTATTGTTCATAAAAAATGGAAAAATAAATTCCTACTCATTTAGTCCCATAGTTCCAGTTTTAGGTAAACATTGAACAGCTGGATCATTGTTGTTTATTGTTGCATCTTTGCAGCCCAAGGAATACTCAGATGTAGATGATATTTTCTAGAAAAGGATTTGGAGAATTCCAAGTGTCTTCTTAAGTTAACGAGAAGATTTATATATAGATAAATGGTAAACAAGCTGATTGAAACACTGGGGACACTGGATTTCTGACAATATGAATAGCTGCTTGGTTATCACACGCTAATAGGTTGTAGCTGTTTAAAATCTAGTTCCTCTAACAACTTTTCAAACCAAATCAACTTACAAGCAATATTTCCATTGCCCTTCCCCCTATGTTCAGTCTCAGCACTAGACTTTGCTACCACCTTTTTTTTTTTTCTTAATCTTCCAAGATAATGAAGACATAATATCCAATGTTAGGTTGCCACTGTTTGTTTCTTTTAGATAGAGAACCTGCCCAATCTGCTAGTACGCAAGGAGTTTTAGGTGCTTTTTTTTTCTTAATCTGCAATCATTGTAGTTAAGGATTGTTTCTGGTCTTATATTCAAGAACAGGTCACTGGCAAAAGAAAAAGAAAATCAAGAACGGGTCTGACATGTTAGCAGTTGTTATTATCTCTGATTTGCCATTGTTTTTCTTATATTTTTTTTAATGCAGGAACTGGAAGAACTACACTCGGCTTTGGAAGAAGCAAAAGCAGATTAGTTGGTCTTTGGGCACTGAAGTTTCTAATCAGCAAGGTTGATTGCTAAGGCTCTGTTTAATATGGTTTTGGTTTTTGATTTTTAAATTTTAGTTTTATATATTTAGTAACTAATAATATATTTAAATTAAATTTAATAGATTCTAATTTTTATAATAAATTTTAGTTTCTAAATATAGCAATAATTACTAAATAAATAAATAATGAAAACCAAAAAACCAGAACTCGAAACTATACTAAACAGTGCCTAAAATTTTCATTTTTGTTGGATATATGTAACTGTATTTACTCTCAAGTAGATAATGGTTTTTGCATTAGCTAATTCTTTATTATTTTTCTAGTCAATTATCAACAGGGTAAGGATTCTTACTGCCCATGTCATTTCTTGCTATCCTTCTGCAACTTTTAAGCTTTCATTTTGTTTGTCAACAATGTTAACTTTTTAACTTATATATGTAACATGTCATCAAATTTCTTAGTTCTTTGTGCCCATTATGTAAGGCGAATTGACAGGATGGTTAACTTAAAAGAGAGGAGCTTAATTGTTAGCATTGAAATGATGGCATCACAGAAAGTCAACCAGAAAATTTTATTTTCCATTTAGTTTAGCAGATGGAACAACTACTTTGATAATCAAAAGAATTATTTTAACATACCTACTTTTGATAATTACTTATAAGAATACCAATTTCTTTATGACACAAAATGGAGAAACTATACCCATCATATGCAACCAGATCAGTTACATTACTTTCCTGCTTCATTCTTTGTAATGCTTTGGATCAGTTTAATTTCAAACATAGTTCCCCCCTAATTGATTTGAGATAGTTAAAGTTTCTGTCAAATTTTTATTTGCAAGCAAGGAGGTATAGAATTCAACTTCTAAACGTGCGTCTTTATATTCTTTTTTATAACAAATTCAGGACAACGTAAGGTATCTAGAGTTTGGGAATGTTTGTTCCATATTATGCCTGGGTAGATTATAATATTATATATAGTTGTGTTGCTTGTGCATTAGTTCTTATATGTGGAACCTACCCATGGCTTTGTTTCATAGGATCTCTCTTTGCATTTAATTTTCTTGGTCAGGATTTGCTTCCAAAAAGTTTGGTAAAATCCATGTATGTTTCTTTCCTTGCAGGATGTTTCCGCTCAGTATGATTTGGCTTGGAGGAAGCTCATGGGTAAGCCCGCTATTCAGCTGCCGTTGATAAATTATGCTATTAATGCTGACTGTTCTCTATTTACTTATATTGTCAGGAAAGGACATGCCTTGCAGTTTAATTGGTTATTTGAGAAAAAAGCCTTCACCTTGCATCCAGATGATACATTTTCTGTTGATTTTGATAAGGTACGTCAGTTCTAGGTTAACTCTCCTATGAATTTGTTTCCTGAAAAACTGCTGTCAATAAGCTTTGTTATTTGAAAGGTTGAAGAAGCGGTTGAAAGCTTGAGGAGGAAGATACTAACGATACAGCCACAGGGGGACAAGGAAGCTGCAAGCTTGCTTCTTCAGAAGCACTGTGTGATTACAACTCCATTAAAAGTTGCATTGCAAAAATTAGAATGCACTCAGGTATGTGCTGCGGTATTCTTGCATCTGCTGATGCATACGTATACTCATTTAGAACTAGTTTAATCACTATAAGATGACTTATTTATAGGAATTTTGTGTTGAGAAGGAATTAAGCGGTTTTTCTAAATAGATATGAGTTTGGGACAGATGAAACTGTCTTGACTTATATATGTAACATTTTAAGTAAATCATTTCATTTACTTGGGTGATTTTATTTGGTTAATTTTTGAAAGTGAGGTGATCACAAAGAGAATGCATAATATTGATATTGGAGTTGGCTTATGTGAAGGAATTGAAAATATTAAAGTATTATATAACAAAGCAATCTTAATTCCAATAATTAGAAGTGTTTACATATTTTCTGTGTAAAAGGGAATTTATTTGGGGTAATTTGAAAAATAAATGGTTTACTACTGCACCCATATTTTGGTAGAAGCCATCTATGTTGAGTTTTGGATTGTGGTTTGGGATTTTCTCTATCTGTACAGGACTTGGAAATTACTACTAAATTGTTTTTATCTTCATTTATTATCTTGCAGGTGCCCGTGGATACAGCTCCCACATTTCCAGTGGCCCAAAAATTATTTGAATGAAGGCGACCATCATAAATTTTACTCCCACCGTGTTACAAAAAGAGCGCCTAAGTGGCAATAGAGCTAGGCGTTTCTTTTATTTGTTAGATTTTTTTGTTTTATTTTGGCATTTTTTCAAAAAAATAAAAACACCTACAACAGCTAGCTAGCAGCCCCTAAGCACATAGCGCCTTCTGCAACACTGCTAGTACTACCTTAAACAGCAATGCAGTTCTCATTTAGGTGACAATAGCAGAAGAGTGTGCATTAGCATTTGAACTAATGATGCTTTTTGATTTAAATGTTAAGTATCCGATTTTTAT